TTCAGAGTTTATATCAACTACTTGGTGTTTCAATTGATTTTGTTTAACATTAACATTCACAAAATATATTTAAAATTCTTTATTATCTATATCTTTTAAAATATTTGTATGTAATAAGTGCAATTTTAAAGTCACATTTGTTTCGCAACTTATAATTATTATAAGTTTAATTAGAGCTTACAATTTTTACATTTGTTTCAACTTACTCAGGGTGGCGCTTTGAGATGGGACAGTGTGAATAAAAAACTAAATATTATTAAAAAACTAATGCAATAATATATCTTTCTTTTACAATGAGGTAGAGGTGACAAAAAAGTCCACCTGATGGTAAGTGGATGCTCTGGTTCATAGATTATATCTGTCTTCGGTTTATAATTTATAAAAAAGTAAATTGTCACCACTGAGGGCTAAGCTACTAGCTGCCTCGTTTGCAGTACTTAAGTTCTTTGGTTTTCGTCAATCTGCTTCAAGAAACACAGTTATATTGTGCTGCCTTTTTTGTACTATACGAGAGTGGTCCTCTTAGGAACGAGCAAGCACATTCGTGCGGCAGTCACTAGTACACTTTTTTAACGCCTCAATGTGCCACCCTGTTTAATTTCTTCGTTGGCATAGATTTGTAACATTAATATATATTGATTTTGTATTATTTATCTTAATATTATATTTTAACTATAGATATTTTTGATAAAATTTACATAAACTCACCTTCAGGAAGTTTTAATCTATTACACTTTGGCACAGTACAGCTAGTTTTTCATAATTTGCTTATTGTTATATGTGGAAAGAATTCTTGTCACTGAGAGAAGTAATAAGTACGGCACGGATATGATTCGCAACTTGTTGTTGGAGCGTAAAGATGCGTAGGTTGCGGGGGCGTTGCACTCAAACCGTGGGCAGCAACGGACTAGGCGAGCGCGAAGAGCGCAGGGATCGCGGTGATCGCGGCTGGCGCCGTACGCTGCCACTCCACTCCATCATATCCTCGTCTCCCTGCACACGCGCACTCGACATACTCTCAGCATCATACTCCTCAACTTCCCAACTCTGAGATCGAGATTTTGAGATTGTTTAGAGGAGGACAATATGATGATGCTGTGTGTATTTTTATTTTATACCGTGGCGACAGAGTATACTGACTTTTTAAGTACAACATTAATTCGAATACTTTAACTAGTTTCTCGATTATTTTTGTTCCACGTAAAATACTTTTCTTTAGGATTGAACAAAGAAGCATTTGTATAAAATAAAATGAAAAATAAAGGTTACTATGTGTACATAGCATACGAGTTTAATTTTAAGAACTCATGCATATCTACGGACAGGTGATATAATGATTAAACCATGGTTATTTACACGGCATAAGAATAACTTAAAAATACAATTGATGGAAAATTAGAACACGCTATATTATTCTAGTCATACGAGTGCGGGTTTGGGGCCAGAAATTTAAATCACGTATTACGGTGTTAACACTTACATATAAGAAGTAATTACCATCATCGTGTGTGGCGCTGTCGGCGCAGGATGAGACGATGGTGGGGCTGGTGGTACTAGAGGTGGTGGAGGCGCCGGGGGTGGCTCGGGGGACGCTGCTGCTGGCGAAAATGATGATGGAGCAAGAGGTGACTGCGCTGTAAATAAGAAGGAAACAAAATATGATTTAAAAACAAAAGAAGTTCGCTTTAAGTATAACTAACGACCAGGTGGTAAGACTTTTTTTTCTCTCGGTAGGTACCAACATATTTTTGCCGCCAAACAGTACGAGTATTGCGTGCATTCCTGGGTCCTGATCTAAAGGTTACAGAGAGCCTGTATAAATACAGGCTGTTGGGAACTCCATTTTATATTCACTTCGTCCTGTTGATTACGCAGTAGTCATATCCGTTGTAAAGTCACGTTGCAGCTATATTATGATTGAAGTACGAGTGAGTCGGCTCGACAGGGGTAGGACCACGCTCTTACAGAATACCAGCGTAAAATAGCAGCTTAATGCTGCTGTGCTTCGTATAGTAAGTGCAGAACCGGATACCTGTATCACTGGAAACGAGGCATTCAATCTTAGCCCTCAGGGGTTGCTAGCGCATTCGCTTGATTCATAATCCAGGTTAATGGAGATGTCTATGAGCCAAAGCATACGAGTATACTTAACATAATTTGGACTGGTCCGTGTACTGCAGTAACGACTTCACACAAACAGGGTGAATTATAAGTTCATTAGTCACTTTATTTTTATATAAAGAAACCTAAAAATTTCTTTACCTAATTATTCAAAATATCAAACAACTTACACAACATACTATACTGAGGTTGGAAGAACGTGCGTACTTAAACGATGGGTACATGCTAAGGTTAATATCACAATTTTATTCGTAAGGAATGCGTGTAGTAGTAAGAAAACTGAAAATACTCAAATTAGACAGGGAGAGCTATTCGGCGTTTTCATAACTAAAATATCTAAATTAGAATCAGAAAATTTGACGCACAGCTAAAGGAAATTTAACTGTGGTAAATAATTCCGGAATATAAATCTAGTGAAAGCGAGAATTGATGGAAAAGAAAGTTTTATGCGGGCCTCGTCAGGATTACTCGTAATTAGATTAATTACGGGTTACGCTGGTGATATATATGTAATAAATCTGTAGATAAATTGTGTCTATAATTTTGTTTGGAAATAACAAGTTTAGGAAGCTAAATAAAGGATGTGAATGCCAGATCGGCAATTTTAGATTTTTGTTTGTCTGTCTGTTTGTAAATTCACGATTTAGACAAAAACTACTGAAAGAATTTCACTGAAATTTGGTACAAAGGAAGTTAGCTCTATAATATATTGCTGAGAACATTGAGCTAGTATGTACTACGTACTAGAGGCGACACTGCATTCAGCTACTATGTTCCATTCAACTGCGGTGCATACACCACACTTTAATCAGTCACTCGCTAGGCGCTTGTAGAGTTGACACGTGTTGTGTTGATTTAAAAAAATCTCATGATAGAAATATGCCGTCGTGCGTACTTAGATATTGCACAAATAATTCAAGAAATGTGAGTACGAAACAAGGAATTACTTTTCATTGGTTAATAAGATACTTAATCAATAAAAAAGTATTATAAAGTAGTAATAAAACAAATTGTTCCTAAGACGCCATCTCGTGTCCGTAATATAGATTTAGAAATTAATTTGTTCAGATGCGACATTTCTGTGGGTACTTAAGTATAGGAGGAATGTATTATTATGCACATTTTTTTGTAGAAACATATATGAGTTATCATAATTAGGCCAAATTTTTCATATTTTAATCTGCTAATTATTCTTATATTTTATTTTTAGGTTTCCACATCAAAGTCAAAGTTGAATAAATTTGTCAATTTTTAACTCTCGCGTGCCCAGTATTTATGAACGACTCTTATTCTAATTTAAATAAATATATTTGTAATTTAAATGTTATATTAACAAGTTTTGTTAAACACACATTTAGTATGTTTTTTTTTATATTTGAGATAGATACCCTTTAATAGATATTGAGATAAAAATATCATTAAAATGTAGTTGTGATATAATATTATGTAATATTATATTAAATAAGCAAATGTAATATATCAAAATATAATAAAATATATATAAAATATATATATTTCAAAATAAATGACAAAATTTAAAAAAATTGTTCTCGATATAATTTACCTATTTAACAATACAATCTACTATTACCTACGGATCATTCTACCTATGTTTATTCTATGATAAAAAAACCAACCACGCGAACACAGAGTAGCGCACATTTTTTGTTTGAAATAGCTGTTCTAGTACGTAAGTACATATTACTTCAATGGCTGAGAATCATTACTTTGCATCCGAATGCGGAAATGCGAAAAGGAAAGAATTTTTTTATCAGTCTTTAGAAGTTAATAGCATAATATAATGTTATTTATATAATAATAATATATAATTATAAGATAAATAATTTATTTTATTTATTAACTCGGCTGGGCAGCGTTCGGGAAATTACGACACATCTTCTCGTCAGGTATACCTCAATGCAAATGCAGGTGGCTCAGGACCGTGCTTTGTGGCATTACTTGGGGGAGGCCTATGTTCAGCAGTGGACTTGTGAAGGGCTGTGATGATGATGATGATGATACTTTTGAAAAAACATTAAATGACTTTTTTTTAATTTTAGATTATTTGCAGTAGTATTTAATAAAAAAACTCATTGAGAACGGTGGCAGCACTGTGCTCTTGTTTACATCAGCTCCGTAGTTTTATTTCTATTAAAATTAAAGATTAGTTATTATTGTCGTGAACTTTTTATAAGCTAAAATATTGATGTGCAACCTTTGTGTGTGAATGTTATTTATGTGATCAGAAACTAACTTTGGACAAAATTGTGCTATGAACAATACATAAGTGTTTTCAAAATTTACAAACTTAAAACAAAATATTGACGTCTTACTAGTAAACAATAGTTGTAACAGCAATAAGAAATAAGTATTTTTCTCTCTGTGATAATACTTATTTCTTATTTATATTGATATCTGTGCACTAAAGATATTTTTGTTGTTGTGAAGCAATAAAAAGATCGTTTTTTCTTACGACTTGAACTACCACCGATTGAATTGACCAATCAGCGCGTTTCTTTGTTAGACATATACATACACTCAGCGACATCTAGCAGGCGTCGTGAGAAACTGATGTCATTACCGTTCAATCAATTAATTATTAACTAACCATGTCATCTAAGATTAGAAATGATACCAACAGCGGCCGCAAGAGGTCATTAAATGTTACATGCTATAAATGTAAAAGTCGTGTCGATTATAAAAGCACAATTGTGTGCACCTTATGCAAAAACTATTTTGAATTTTCTTGTGTTGGCAATCCAGAAAAGAGTAAAAAATGGCAATGCAAATCATGCGATAAAAAAATAGCTGTGCAAACTTTATTAACTACCTAGGAGAGCAATGTGACATTGAAGAAGAAGATGTTGGTACACAATATTATGGATAATGTAATCCTACCTTCTGATACTGCCCAGGAGACCACACCAGTATCTACTCCAGCTAGCACAGAATCAGGAAAAGAAACTACAGACATTTTTTCCGATGGTCTAACTATTGATGAAACCTTGTTATCAAAAAGTATGGATTACACAATGACGGAAGTAGTCTCTATTCAGGACATGAGAGACATCATAGAACAGCTACGAATGGACCTTGCCACAACACAAAATGAACTTGAAAACATTATCCTAGACAATAACGACCTCCGTTCACAAGTAACCAATCTTATCAAGGAAAATAACACATTAAAGGCTTTTCTATCCAAAACACCACCAAAGAAAAGTAAATCAAATTGTAGCACAAAAAGAAAATTAGAAGTTCCCCACGATATTCAGATGTAAATATAATAGCCACACCGCCCAGGGCATTCAGTGACAACAAGACAGAGGAATTCTCTAACAGGAACAGCCTAACCCTCGAGCAGAATCTTAAAGATCTCGAGCTGCAACTGAAGTCAGCCAAAAATGAAATAGCGGACCTTAATAATCAAATCATAACCCTTCAAAAGGTAGTCCAAGCTAAAGAATTCGAAGAATCCTCGCTAATTCAGCACACGATTAATTTAAACTCAGAAATTGATAAAAGTAAGAGACCCAATTTGTGTATCCTGACTAACAGCTCATCCTGGGGTACGCTGGCAGCTGTTGATGCTACGTTCAATAAACAGTTTGACTACATCCGCTATTTCTCGCCGAATAGTAATATTAAATATTTACTCCAGAATATTGATAAAAAATTGCATGGATACGATATGTGGGACTATTGTATTATTATGATAGGTGAAAGAGATTTTAGAACTACATGTGATTGTATAGAGTTAGTAAAAACCATAAGGGAAGCATTACACCATATTTCTCATACTAATATAATTCTATGTGCTCCTACACACGTATGTGGATCACCAATATATAATTATAAAATAGAATTACTTAATAAATTAATGTATTTGGAATTACAAAACAATCATTATGCATACTTTTATGATTCCAATCTCTTAACTTCATTTGACATGTACTCATTTAAAACTGGGAAAATAAATAAAAAAGGAATACAACATATTTACAAAAATATACTAGATAATATAAATATCGACTATAACTACTATGGTTATACTAAAATAATCACACCTCAAAAGACCAATCCTCAAGTAGAAAGTACTAAGTTTTTTTCTCGTATAGAACAGCCCGCAAAAAAAAGAATAAACGTAGTAATAAAGTACGATCTAAAAAAATACTATTGTACTATCAAAATGTAAGAGGTCTACGCACAAAAACTGTTACTTTCCGTAATAATATGTCTTTAATATCAAGTGATCTTGTCATCCTTACTGAAACTTTTCTCAACGATTCTATATATGACTCTGAACTGTTCCCTCCCGAGTATATTGTGCTAAGGAAGGATCGTGCAGGTAACGTCGGATGGGGTGGTGTTCTCTTAGCAGTAAAGAATAGTTTTACCGTTAAAATAATTACGAACATAGATGGTTTAACTGATGATAAAGAATTGTTATTTACTTTTTTAACGTTGAAAAATATTAAACACTTAGTGTGTGTTGCATATTTACCACCTAACTACAATGACAAGCAATATCTTGATGCATTAAATTGTATAGAAAATGCCATTAACACATATTCTGACTGTAAATTCTTGATTGTTGGTGATTTCAACTTAAGGTCTTGTAATAAATCAGTTCAAACTCAGTTCCATAATTTCTTAAAATGTTGCAACTTACAGCAATGTAATAATGTTTGTAATAAATATGGATGCATCTTGGATCTGGTATTGACTAATCTAGACTCCGGAAGTTGTACTGTGTCATTCGAAGTTGAACCATTGGTACCTATTGATGCTTATCACCCTCCGTTAGAGATCGTGCTTACACTACCAACAAGAGCTGCAATAATTATACCATTTCCACCATGTCAGAACCTTTGCACAGAATGGAATTTCCGTAAAGCAGATCTCTGTGGGTTGTACACTGATATAAATGACTTGGACTGGACGGACCTAATGCACCAACAGGACGTAAATGTAGCTTTAGAGATCTTATATAATAAGCTTAATAAAGTCATTAGTAGACGAGTTCCCAATAAATCCTTAACTACCAATCACAAATATATATATCCAAAATGGTATACTAAAGAAATCATAAAATACATAAAATTGAAATATTTTAATTTAAAAATGTTTAAAAGTCGTGGCTTGGAATTTAATAAGGCGTTATTTAAATATTATAGAACCAAAGTAAAAAAACTTATTAATACAGCATCTATAAATTATATGATAAAAGTTGAAAATGATATAGCATGCGAACCCGCAAATTTTCGGAAATACGTGAAAGAAAAATGAAAGAATAGACAACAGAAGGAGGAATTTGTGTGTAATAATAGATCTTTAGAAGGGCAATAAGCTGTTAATGCATTCGCGCAGTATTTCAGCTCAGTTTTTCAACCTGATACTCCATTGTTAAATGTAGAGGCAGCGGAACGCGATGCAATGTACGCGGACTGTGTAACCAAAGTCAGTATTAATATTATTAAAGCTTCAGATCTACGATGGGCAATACGCCGTCTTAAGGCATCGGCAGCTTGTGGCCCTGATAACATACATTTGTTTTTAATAAAGGACTGTATGGCAGTTTTAGAGGAACCATTACTGTATGTCTACAATCTCTCACTTCAACAATGCCTCTATCCCAATGCATGGAAAGTGTCCAGGGTAACTCCTGTACCTAAAAGTGGTTCGTCCACTGATGTAACTAACTTCAGGCCTATCGCGGTGTTATCAGTATTTGCCAAGGTGTTTGAATCCATTGTAAACAATTCCATTTATAAACAAATAGGTGGGCTTCTAGATAACTGTCAACATGGATTCCGGCCGGAACGTTCTACTTTGACGAATCATATACAGTTTGTGGACTACGTGACCACTCGGGTTAAGTCAAGTTGTCAAGTCGACGCAGCCTATTTTGATTTTAAGAAGGCGTTTGACCTTGTTGATAATGATATCCTTTTATTGAAATTCGCAATGCTTGGATTCTCTACACCACTTTTAAAATTTATGGCAGATTATCTTAGAGACCGAAAGCAATTTGTTAAGCTAAGAGGTTATATTTCTCAAGAATATTACACACGCTCGGGTGTGAGTCAAGGTAGTACGCTCGGTCCAACTCTATTTCTAATAATGATTAACGATCTGCCCAGTAATATCTCAAGGGCAAAATGTTTAATGTTCGCTGATGATATAAAACTTTTCCATGCAGTGACCGGAGCTGAGGACTGTATGGCATTACAGCGCGACATTGACGCAGTGGTTGAATGGAGTGTAAAAAACAAGTTGCCCCTTAATAATTCAAAGTGTAAGACTCTAACTTTTTCTCGGTCACGCAATCCAATCACAGCGACATACCAGCTAGCATGCACTCCATTAAGACGTGTCTATTCAATTCGCGATCTAGGCCTAATCATGGATAGTAAATTGAATTTCCATGAACATATTATTAAAACGTGCAAAGAAGCGAATAAAAGTCTAGGTTTCATAATAAGAACTTCGCATCAGTTTAAAAATGTCCGTGTGATAAAACTCCTGTATAATGCCTACGTGCGAAGTAAGCTAGAGTATAACGCCCTAGTATGGAACCCCCGAGAAATCATGTATACAATGAAGGTGGAAAAAATCCAACGTAAGTTTGCCAGATATCTGTATAAACGCCAGTATGGATACTACCCATTTCTATATCCGTCAACATTTGTATCGGGCATGGTTGGTCTGGATACCCTACAGTGTAGGCGGGAACTTATGCATATAATGCATTATTATTTCTTGTTAAGTAACAAAGTAGATAATCCTGCAGTTCGTGAAACCATACATCTTTATGTACCGGACCATTATGTGCGAGGTATTGGTAGACGTAAGCGTAGACTCCTCTCCTGTGCGCGTACGTGGCGCTCCCCACACGTAGATAACAGTCCCACTTCCAGAGCCGTTAGACTAATAAACTGTTTTCTCAGGGCCAATCCAGACGCAGATATATTTTTTGACAAACCCAGCGTAATGTATAAAAACGTATTAATATTCTTAAACAACTTTGTAAGATAGTAGAATAGTATATGTTTAGGTAAATAAGTTTAATTTATGATATAGTAAATAGATCTCATTATACTGTTGTGGCTGTAATTTATATTGTGTATGGAAATTTAAAAATTGGTGATTTTTATTCTTGTGTATTTTATCTTACTTATATAGATATAAGCGATTTGGTTGTATATACTGTAAGCTTATATTTTATTAATAAATGAATATGAATATGAACTCATATATTATTACTTCTCTAAACAAATTTGGAACCCTCTGATCCCCATCCCCCGTAAGTTGTCGTTTTGAAAAATTCATTTGTTTTATCCTCCGATTTACATTTTACTTTCGTAAGTTTCTAATCAATCTCGCCGCAAAATAAAAAGTTTTATACAATCTGTAATAGTCCTATTTCCCTCTCTTAAGGATATTGGACTTTTTAAAATACCTTCTCAAAATAACAGCCTATATACGTCTTAATGCTGGGCATAGGCCTTCTCTCATTCCGGAGAGGGCTTGAACATATTGCTCGATGCGTCTCTGGTCTCAGAGGTGTATCGATAGCATATTCGATATTAAGTGAAATATTGAAACTTCAATGTAAAAACCGTGACTTAGAATTGCAGTGGGTACCGTCTGCTCGTGAAATGCTGGCGAAATTGGCAATCATCTAAGGAAGAGAATGTAATATTTATTCTGATTACTGAGAAATTTTAATTAAATATAAAGGAAAAAATGTTATACACTTTGGAAAGAATATTTTGATAAAAGGTTGCAAGAAAAAGAGATTTGGTACAAAACCATCTAGAGTCAGCCTCCGAAAGTGCCTTGGTTTAATCAATGTCTGTTGAATAGAAAATATGTTGTATTAGCAATGCGACTTCGTTCTGGACACATTCCGTGTAGCAAGTTTGCTTTCATGATGGAAAAGAAACAATCTCCAAATTGCGATACACAACACAGCAACACTTGCTTGCAGAATGTTCCAAAAATCATATTGAAAGGAAACTATTAGTTGCCAAAACTGACATTAAAATATGTAACATAGGGAATATCAAAGCATTCTGTCTGAACTATTGTCTAATGCTGCTCAAATGGTATATAATTTAGTTTTTAGTAGTTTTAGTTATTTAGTTATAAGGTACAATGGGACTGACATGTTAAAATTAACGTAAGTCTAAATTAAAGAAAGAATAATTTTTTTTAATATTACTAACATTTTAAGTTTAACGAATTTTAGTTAAACATTTATAATAAGAAGCCGTCA